ATGTGATAAGCTACTATTTATAAATATATATATATATATATATATATATATATATATATATATATAAATGCATGTCATGGGTGGCTTTTAAACCATATTTGCCTAATCTCTCTGTATCATAATCTTTTCTAACAAATCATGATTTCTTAGTAATTTCTTCATTTTAAAAAACACTACAAGGACTACAAACAAAACCAAAATTATGTATCAAAGGAAAAGAAACTGCTTTTTTATTTTATGATTATAGTACAACAGCCTCAACTAAAGCTGTAACACAGTTAACTGATATTTAGTTATGCTGCTGTGTCCGATGATAGAAAATAATATAATCAGACTGGAAATCTATCCACGTGTGTACATATTAGCCTTGATTTTCGAGGCAAATTGAAAGTCCTCCTCAGAATCAATGAGGGTCATCATAGGCAAAACAGATTCCTAGAATGTGAGCTGATGCTGAAATCTTCCGTAGATAGTAAATTAAGTATAACAAAGCCCAGCAGCGGCCTGGTGTCCGCTTACACAGACTATAACAGCACCTTTCACTCAAACATGATTGATGTTGTTCGTTTGGCACGTCGTTCCCAACAAAATGATTTACGTGTTGACCTTTTGCTTCTGTGTCGCCAGAAAAACAATTTGACACGGCTGCTGTGGAAATGAACCTGCTGAGTGCTGTGTGAGATGGGGACGGCCTCCTCGCTGTTGCCTCGTTAGTTAATTTATGATCCCGGCTTTGTTTTTTTCACAGTTACAGACCATTGATGACAAATTAAACCTGATGACTTTCAGTGTCTAACATCAGTCTGTCCTTCTGGAGGACGGCGGGGTGGATGTGAGAAGGCGGACTGATCATGACCGCAGCTGGCACTTTTAGTACAAAGTGGAGGGTTTGCTGTTAAATTGCCCCTGCTGCCTGACAGATGTTTGAGTGTGTCTGCTGATTAAGGCTTCCAGCTGACCCTGTTGGACCTTAACAAGCATGTAGAGAGGAACACTACTGCGCTGTTCTCTTCAGGGGGCCGACATTGCTATTTTTCCCCTAATGAAATAGACTTACTATTTGATGAATATCTCTTTTGGAAATGAGCAAGGGAGATGTGCTTGTCCCTGCAGACATGATACTGTGAAGCCACTGCATGAGGCAGCCTGGACGGACATGATGGAGGAGGCTGCCAATCAGCTCGAGAGAGACCATGTGCACAATGTCTATGACAAGATTGCTCCATATTTCAACGACAGCCGCTATAAAGCCTGGCCGAAGGTGCGACAGTTTCTGCTGGACCTGCAGCCAGGGAGCATCGTCGCTGACATTGGTGGGTGTCCCCTCAAACAGTAATCTTGACAATCACACTTGAACCTTAATACATTGACTGTGCTTTTTTCATTGTTTTCTAAAACCACAATAAGTCATTCAAAAAATTGGCTTCCCTTAAGGAGAAGGGAACGAGTATTTTAAATATAATGAGACCGCTAAGCACCCCTCATCCATCACCAGTGTTGTAGCTGACTGTCTTGACCTTGGCAGGTTGTGGCAATGGCAAGTATCTCCACATCAACAAGGAGGTGTTCAAGCTGGGGTGCGATGTTTGTCGCCCCCTAGTGGACTTTGCCTGGAGCCAAGGACACGAGGTCCAGATGTGTGACGGGCTGCATTTGCCTTACAGAGACGGCTGCTTTGACGCTGTGCTCTCTATTGCAGGTAATTGAAAAACACACACATCCCCTTGCTATGTCTGTATTTTGTATTGGCTCATTCCTGTGTGTTATTTAATCCCTTTGCAAAGCACTTTGGTCAAAATTTGTTGCTTTTAAAATGTGCTCTATAATTAAATTTCACTTGGTTTGAGATAAAGGGAGTTTCGGATGTTGTTGATTCCTCCCACTCAAATGACTCCCTTCATATGCTTGAAGCTCTACTGCTGCAGCTGTCATTGGCCTCAGATTAAATGAACTCATAATAATGATAAACATCAGTTTCCCACAAGCTTGTGTTGCCTAGCCAACAGTGTGAAATAATTCATGTGTGTCCTCCAACAAAAGAGTGTAATTAGGACCAAAGACGACAGCAGACACCCACACTATCAATTAATGTTGTGTGCCATACAGTGTACATAATGTGTTTTGTTGACTGCACGTGCTGAATGTGAAACATCATAATCAATTTAATCATCATCCTACTTAGTATAAATTATTTGTTTTTGTCACAGTCATCCATCATCTGTCCACCAAAGAGCGACGTATTCGAGCAATAAAGGAGATGGCCCGCACCCTGCGAGTTGGTGGACGCATCATGATCTACGTGTGGGCCATGGAGCAGAAACGTCGAAAGTTTGAGAAACAGGACATCTTCGTTCCCTGGAACCCCAACCCTTATTCGCCCTCCGGCTTCAACAGGGAGCACGGCAAACCCAGACGGAGGGCCGTAGCTCAGAGCGTGAGCGAAGCCATAGACAACACCGACAAGCACAGGAAGGTTAGAAGCACATCCTCCGTGGCAGACGAAGAAGATCTGACCTGCACCACGCCACAGCAGAGGACACAGAGACTGTGGTTCTTCTCCAGGTCTCTGGATTCTGTGTTTGACTTTGGAAGCTTAGCCATCTCACGGTCAGGACACGGACAGGGCCTGATCAAGCAGGTCTCGAGCTTCTTTTCCCCGCCATCTGTGATCGGATCAGAGGAGGACGTCTTTGACTCGGTCACAGACCTGCACAAGGGACAAAATGATCCTGGAGGCAACAACAACAACATGGCCAACAACAACGGTACAGAAAATCAGAGCGTCTCATTATCTTTAGCCCAGGAGTGTGGCTCTCTGGCCCTGCCAGACCTGGTCCCATTCCAGAAAGAGCACCTGAAGCAGTCCGGAGATGAAAGTGAAGCAGGGCCGCAGGGGAAAGAGCAGCAGCAAAGCACAAGGAGTCCTCAGCGGAGCGAGGGGCAGGTGGAAGGCTCCTGCCTGAGGTACTATCATGTCTTCAGGGAGGGAGAACTGGCAGAGCTGATAGAGAACCATGTTGAAGAGCTTCATGTCAAACACACTTACTTTGATCATGCCAACTGGTGTGTGGTGGCAGAGAAAGTACAGTTATGGAAAATATGATTTTAACATGTTTGTTTTTAGTTTGGATCAACTCTGCCTCAAGTTATAGCACTGAATCACACATTTGATGATTATTACAGTCTTGTAATTGAAAAGTGTGTAAATATACAGATGTAGCCATTGTTGAAGGTACATAAAACACTAAACTAGTCCATTGCTGCAATCCTCTACTTAACTATTTGGACATTTCAATTTTTTAGTCTATTTTAAGTTTCTGGTAGTCCTGGAACCAGTTGTGTGACAGACCTATTTATATCTAGCATTAAATATTATTTTAGATGGTTTTGCAGCAGCAGGGCAGGATGCACAAAGACTGACGGTGTTCAGCAATGGTTATCACTGTATGTTACACCATGTTTTTAAATTATTTATTCTATTTCAATCCATGAAACCAACAAGCAGTATCCAGATTTCCAGTTTGGGTTCTCTTTTAGTGTCAATAATATGTTTTTATTGTCAAACCACAGCAAGCTCCAGTGTTGCTAAAGATTTAAACTATTTTTTAAATTAGTATTTCTGCAAGAGATACGTTATTAAGGAATGCACTGTTTTTCTCTTTGGACTTTTAATACTAGCCAAAGAGGAATTTGTTTGCCTACAGTATATTCTTCCATCTGCTCTTAAATGTTTAATTCATTGATCATAGTGGAAAATGACTTACTCTATTATTTGTGTCTGCCTGTTTTACAGTTGCACACTTGCAGCAAGTATTTGTTATGGACTCTGTAAACTGCTTGTGTACCTACCATAACATACACATCATAAAGAGCTCAAAGTTGTGCAGAATATCTTCCAAAACATTTGTGCATTTGCTTGTTGCATTTTCAAGTGTTTCAAAGGTGTTGCCAGTGTGTGTCTGTGTGCTTATTGTTTGTAATAGTGTATATCGTCTTGTTCTGAAGTAAAAAGCTGAAATATACCACTTGTATATTTCAGCAAATCAACTGCCTCATATACTGTGAATAAACATTGCACTGTACCACAAATATGTCGCTGCTTGATGTCAGTGAATGACATAAAATAGGTAAAACTTGAAACATACTGGTTATCTGTACCCATTGTGCCAAGGGTGGTGCATAATCCATATCAGTACAGAATGTGTGGACCAACTGTTTGTTCAGAAGTGACACTGGTACCTTAATGTCTTATGTGACCTGATGTAAATAGTTTAAATTTGTTTTTTCTTTATTAAATATTTTTGTTCATGAGTGTTTTGTCTTGCATCTACTGTCATGAATGATACCTGTAGTTATTTGGTGGAGCTTTATTCAGTGACAACCACACACTAGTGTTCAAAAACAGAATATTTAATAGTTGTACTGATAGTTACTACTACAGAGGTGCCGATGCAGCATCTTGATGAAGTAAACAAGTTGAATGTCTTCTTAAATCACCCTTTAGCAAACATACACCAACTTTCCATTTTAAAATATCCTGTCCAATATACCAAAAAAGGTTAGTTACATTACATAACTTATATATATATATTAAATATTCTAAGATACTCTGAGAAGTTGGTGGAATTTGTCTCCAATATATTTTTCAGAATTCTTGATAAAAACTGTTGCATGTACATATAAATATACAGTGTAAAACAAGCATTTGTGTAGCATAACCACATGTTTTTATTCCCACATATCAATCTTGTCATTGGCTCCTAAAGATCAAGTATCAGCTAGGCTCCGAGGGTCCTCTTGATTTACAGCACAAACGTTTTACATCCCACACTCCCTCCAAACCTGAAATATGAAGAACATTCAGTTAAAATCTTTATGTAAATGATGAGTCATCCAACAACAGTTATGTGTCCTGTACCTGAGTCGCTGCTCTGTGGACAATGGAGTGTCTGATAGCCAGTTTATCAATGTCTCTCGAGTATCCTCCTCCAATAACGACAGCGACAGGAACGCCTCTACTCACCACGGTCTTCATCACGTAGAGATCTCTCTGATACAGCCCTGGCAGACACCACAGTCATTCAAAAACAGTCAAGATCTGATTTGTAGGTGGAGATAGTTTGCTGTCAAAGTTATCACTGACCTTGGTCGGTCAGACTGAGCCTCCCGAGTTCATCTTTCCAATGAGGGTCGACCCCTGCGTCATACAGGACCAGGTCTGGACGAAAAGTCTCCAGCAGCCTGGGAAGGTGAGCCTCCACTGTTGGAAACAAACTCTTCATTAAAATGTCTGTTAACACAACTAATTACAATAGTTTTTTGTTGTGATTTTCATTTAGCTTGTTCACGTCAAGCTTCTTCTGAAAACAGAAATGTATGTATAAATGTCTAAAATACATCAGCAGTGAAATTGAGACTGCAACTTCGTTTGGATCTAAACATCCTGCATGTATTATAATGGCCTGTGTTAACTTGCCTGTGGAGAGATACTCCTTGTCTTCCAGCCCATCCTCCACGCTGATATCTAGGTCACTCTGTTGTTTACGGAGGGGGAAGTTTTTCCCACAATGCACCGAGAACGTAAACACACACGGCTCATCTTTAAAAATGAAAGCAGTGCCATCACCCTGTTGGATGCAAAAGATGTTACTAATGACAAAAAGCTGGGTTAATCTACAAGGAACAAAGACACATGCTGTATTTATGACATATTGGTATAACCCCCACGGCATTATTAGTAGCAGGGACAGCTTTAACGCTACCTGATGCACGTCTAGATCCACAATCAGAACCTTCCTTTTGGATGAGGAGATCAGGTATTTGGCTGCAACTGCCAAGTCATTGAGGAGACAATACCCCGAACCATAGCTTGGAAATGCATGATGGGTTCCTCCTGCAGTGCTGCAGGCCATTCCCCTCTGTAGAGCTACCTCGGCAGCTAGAACAGTCCCACCTGTCAAAAAGGGAAAAGGTGAGAAGCTTGTGCAGGGGGATCTTTTCAGGCTGTTCAGCTGTTAAGTCATCAAGAGACTTCAGACGTTCTTCTCACCCGTTTCATATCGACAGCGTCTCACTATGCCTTCGCTCCAGGGGAAACCTGTCCTCCTTTGCTCCTGCTCATTTATTTTCCCATTTATGAAGTTGCTCAGGTATTCCTCCGTGTGCACACAGCTCAGTAAATCTATGGAGGCAATTTCAGGGACCCACACCTACTGCGAGGAAGGAAATTCACATTCAGGAAAATGTGAAAGTGCTTCCAGTAGTGCTGTAGTATTCCTGCAACTAACAATGCTTTTCACTATCAATTCATCAATCAGTAGCTTTTATTAGTGATGAAGTCTTTATGGGTTGTCCTACCAAAAAATATAAATGAAATAAAAAAATATAAAATATTCGATTTACAGTGATATCAAACTTATAATACATATAATCAAATCATCACAATAATCACTAGACTAATCGATCATATTGGTGACATTTCAGCACTACATATTGTAATATTTAGTTGATAATATCAGTGAGCCACTCACCTGTTTCTCTGTAATGACTTGATCTTTGATCAGAAAGTGGAGAACCCGGGAGAACTTGCCCATAGGGAACCTGTGGTTGGGTGGGAGGTCACACACATACTTGCTGTGATGAACTATTGGAAGTCCGCTGGATTCCTGTCCTACCTGCCAGGTGAAAGGGCTCACTGTGAGGTCAGTCTTAATGCAATGCAATGTGTGTGTAAAGTTCACAACAATGCACAGGTTCTTACTAGTTCTGCATGGAAACATCTGCAGGAGGTGAAAGCTGCACCGAGCAGCCGTCCGACCTTTAAGCGAGGTCTTTTAGAAAAGATGTGTGTAATGCAGGTCATTTCTCTCACTGATGTTAATGCTAATAAATGACTCACTTACATAAAACAGAGGGTGCTTAGTGCTGCGGAGTTCGGTGATATGAAATGACACCACAAACGTGCTGAAGGTGTCCAGTTTGTTGACGGATGTGTGACTGTGTTTGTCCTCCTCTAATACTGCCATCTTCTGTCATGGAGTGGAACTAACACACAGTGTGATTGGTTACATGGTTCATTACCTCCATCTACTGATTTGCAGTGATCACTGCAGATTGACAGCATGTTCTGGGTCAGCTTTTAGCAGATAGACTCAGTTATTTTATGCTTCCATCTCCCTATAAATGCCATAGTTCTTCTAGTTTAAGTTTGAAATAAAAAGCATTTGTGATTATGATAAAGTTAATGACCACCAAAAGGCTCTAAACCAAATTATATTTATTATAATATATATATATTAACACATAAATATGCGTTTTTAAATCTAAATTGTATAGGCAGACAACATATAAAATCCCTACTGCAACATTTTTTATTACTATGTGTGTTTCTGATCATTTATAAATATTTTTCACTGAAACATATGGGGCAGTGAGGTTCAGTTTTCTTGAGCATATGTAAGTGATGCAATACTTTATGCCTAACAATACAAGAACAGAGATATATCTATCATGTATAATACGCATCTGTCCTATAGTATATTCGTGTTTATGCTACAGTCTGTATATCTGATATACTGTATACACTGTATTCATACCTCCAGCTGTTTATTCTGTACTGTATATAATGTCTTACTATTGTGACGACCCTCTGATCAGGTCTCTCACTCAAAGAGCCTGGTGGGTGGAGTTGGGTAATCGGCCAGATTAAGTTCATCTGGTCTGGTGGCTGTACTATATAGGCTGGAGGCAATCAGCCGGTGTCTCTCTCTCTTGGCTTCCACTCTGTTTGGTTTGGTTGAATTTGTTTGTCTTTAGCTTCATTTCTCTTTTCATTTTGTTAAATAAACATATTTTAGTTACAACACATGTCTGTTCTCCCCTTCTTTTTCCAGGCTCGAGCCGGGTTGTGACACTATTGTTATTACCTGTACTTATACCTGCACTATATATTTTTTCTTAATGTATCTTAGTGTATTCATATCAACCCCTTAGTGTTTTTCTATATATTATCACTGTACATATGCACATTATTTCTGCACATTATATATTATTTCACTCTGTTAACAGAGTGGATCTGTTTGATTTGAAGTTCATCCTATCATATCATCTTTGATGACAACTTTTCTGCATCAGATTCTTTTTGAGAGAAAATCCAGGATGAGTGGAGACCCCATGCAAATGAGTTGAATTTATGATTCATGTAGCTATTTTTTATTTTGCACTCTTTCAGTTTTTTCCCTCTTGGTTCATCAAATGATCAAAGCTCCTTTTAGTTTTCAACTTCCAACCCGTGACAAGTTGCTCATCCCTTCTACAGTATTTACACAACTATGAGAGTAGCTGTTTTCCTCTCTGATGTTGTCTGTACCCTTATTCTGTACCATCTGTATCCACTCCTGATCTGCCCTGCTCTACAGCCTTCACAGTCGACTCCCCTCCTGTCAAGCCAAAGCGTACCCTGGCCGAGGTGGTTAATCACAGTGGCAGGGAATCCGTTATGGTGTCACACTGAAATCATGTCAGATTGTCTTCACTCCCACATGTTACAGTTTAAAGTGACAGAGGACTCTGTGGAAGGGTAAGTGATGCAAATAATTTTGTAGATGAAAAATGTGTTTCTTTAGCTTGAAAATGCCTTTGTTTTCTTCTCACTGTACTAAAATTGCCTTTGATTAGCTATTTTCTGTGTCTGGTTTTGCTTCTCCATCTGTCTCTGCTTTACATTGCTAGCAGGCAGCTCAAGGCACTGTCTGGTGTACTGTCGGCTGTGGGGTTCTCCCATGAGAATATGTATGTGTGTGTGTGTGTATGTATGAAGAGTCTGGTGAATGGGGATTAGTGCAGCCCCCGCTGGGAGGAGCTGGTGTACTCACAGGCAGATAAGACATGAGACGAAAGCATTGGCCCCAGGTGCAGAGGAGAGATCTTCTCATAATGGAGAGAGGAGATTAGAGAGGTAAAATCAATTACTGACTTCGGCCTTGTTAACAGGCATTTCAAATAAGGAGAGAGGAAGGAGGAGAAGGGGCTCGTTCCAAATGAAAGACTCCAATATATCCTGACAGAAAGATTATTTTCTTTGTGCAGCAGATAAAGGTTGTATTAATTCATTAACATATAGATCTTCCGTTCTGCTTTAGAGGTGATTCTCTAATACATAGATAGTCTTTCTTTCTTATCGTAGGACCTTTTTTAAGGCTTTACCACTGATTTGACATGTTTTAGCTCATTTACTACAAATCACCTTTACTTTACATCACAGTTAATCGTTTAGCAAGCAGTGCTCCTGTTTTTTAGACGTGCATTTTCTACTGTTGCAGGCATCAGTTGGTTTCATTCATCACTGTGAGGTGTAGAATAGGGAGCAATTAACAATTATTTAATCATTATGGATGAATTCGTAGATTATATTCCTAATTAATCAATTCATCGTTTTGGTCTATAAAATGTCACAAATAGGGGAAAATACCCATCACAATCCACCACAGTCCACGACGACATCTTCTCCTGCTCGGTTTGCATGATTAACAGTTCAAAACCAAAAATACTGAATTTATTATAATAAATATTTACACTTATTGGAGCAATTGAAACCAGGAATTATGAGTCAGTCATGAAAAAAGTTGCCAAATACTTTTCTGTTGATCAGTTAATAGATTAATCAAGTCATAGTTTCAGCTCTAGTTCAGACCCTTCCATTCAGTCCACATGTAACGGGCATTACCATGCAATGATAAAGAGAAATGCAGACTTGATGTTTACTGACATGACACAAATCAAGCAAGAATCTGCTAATACATTTTCATACCATTCAGAAATCAATAAAATCCCATGGCTGCCTGGAACAGCAGATACTGAGCAAGAATGCATGTGACAGTAAAATCTAAAGTAGGCTATGTATGATTTGTAGTAAGAGTTAAAACCTGTAGACAAGTTGGCATGGTTCTTGTGAAAGAGAAACCACAGCTGACAGTCAGCTGTGAGTGAGCAGCAGTCGGCTTCAGGGCAGCTGTGTTCAAGGCCTCGGAGCTCTGCGTCTCATTCCTGGCAGAGACAAAAGAAGAAGCGGACAACTGTTCAGCTTTGATCTGACTTTCTCTTCTCTCATTGGGTAAAATAATAACAGACCGTCTTAAGTCAGCCCTCTGAATGCAGTTTTTCTTACTCTCAGTGGTGGAGGAAGTATTGAGCTCCTTTACCTTAGTTAAAGCACTAATAAAACAACAAGCAAAAAGTCTGCATACAAAAATGACTGAAGTACTAGGGTATGTAAGTGTAATCAATCAATCTGATGTGTTCAATGCAGAAAATGTCCCCTGTGACTGTTACTATTATATATTTTATCATTGTATTATTATTATTGACGCATTGATGTAAAAGCAGGTGAGGTGGAGCTAATGCTTTTGTACAAGACTGCTACTAATGATTAGTTTCACTATGGATTAATTTGGTGATTTTCTGTTAATTGATTGATTGAATTGATTCATTATTTGGTTTGTGAAAAGTCCCAAAATAGTGAGAAATACCATCACACTTACCTAAGTGACAACGTAACAATGGTCATTTTGTCCAACCAATACCTAAAAATTATTACAAATAAATTACATTTATTAAAATAATAAAAGGAAAGGCAGCAATTCTTTACATTCGAGAAGTTGGATCCATGCAATGTTTTTGCATAAAAAATGACAAATGATTATGAAGATAGTTGTCATTTTATGTGAATCAACTAATCTTTTCAGCTTTACTTCTATTGGGTAATTTAATCTATAACACAACATCTTATTTAATAAACCCTACATACGTTTTGTATTCAAAAATCTTATTTTCTAAAGTCTCCAAAGCTGCAAATAATTGTAGTGAAGTAAAAAGTACAATATTTACTTCAAGTGGCATGAAAAGAAAGTTACCTTAAATTTGTACTGAATTCCTTGAGTACTTACATACTTGAGTACATATACTTAGTTACATTCCACCACTGCTTGCTGTCAGCGTTGTGTTGTCAAATTATATGCCAGGTTGTTTCCTGGCTTTGAAGGTAGCGTTGAAGTTTATTCAACCAAAAAGCCACATGCAGACTTGGCTGAAAGAACTTGGACCATTGTCTTTGGTTCACACATGGATGGGATCAATGATTTGCTGCACGCAATGTGTGTTCAACCAAATGAATAACCCCATCATCTCTGAATAGCCCTGTCATCTTGGCATGTATTTTCACGTTCCTGAAAGCAGACATGTTTGTTGTCCAACCCCAGAAGGGGAGTGGACGGTGTGATGTTTGCATCAGATTCAAACATACCTGTCAATTACACAACATCACAATCACAACACCAAGCCCACAAACCCCCCCATCCTTCAACTCCACCTCCCAACTCGGAGCGGAAGAAATCCGCTGGTTGCACAGCGTGTTGCAGCAGGTGAAGACAGGGGTTGTTGTTGGAGTGAATTCATTTGTAGCTGCTCTCTGTGTGTCATGGTGACGGCCCACCGCCTCGTCCCTCTGAGGCAATCCCCCGGTCACAATGAAAGGCTGAGCTGATTCACCTCTCATGCATCCCCGTCCTCCTATAATCACATACATGCCGGGGAGACAGGCTGTGAAGTCATTGGGCAGTAGTATAATTTACCATCATTTTAGTCAATGTTTACATCTCCCCTCATTATCACTGGAGCTGACATATTTTTTCTTACTCTCTAGCGTCGCTCATTGTTTGGGAATGTCTTTGCAGTTGTTAACTAAGTTTTGGCATCTTGTCGTGTTGTGTGGTAAACAGCTTGTGCTGGTGGCCGCACGTGTTGTCAGAGAGCGGGAATGTGTGAGCCACTGAAATACCAATATTTCATGAAGAGGAGCAAGGCCAAGAACATACGCTCTGCCAAACATTCACCAAGCCCCAGAGGGGTTTCTAGATCAGACTCTTGCTCTCATTTTAACAATGTACTGTTGCAAGTAGTTTATAAATTAAATTGTGAATGGGAAGTTTAAAAGAATCCAGTCTGAATAATTGGA